CCAGATCGTGGATGCGGCCGATGCGGGCGAGAGAGAGAAGAGAGAGAGAGAGCAGAGATTGCGCCGCGGCGAGCGAGTGGGGATTAGGGTTAGGGTTGGGAGCGTCGAAGCGGACTACGGAGCGAACGAGGCAACTGGGCGAGCGAGGAGCGGCTGTGCCGCGGTGAGCGAGTGGGGATTAGGGTTAGGGTTGGGAGCGTGGAGAGACTGCGCGAGCGGCGCCGAGCGGCGGCGAGGCGGCAACCGGGCGAAGCGCGGCGCGAGGAGGGCAGGCGGCCGGCCACCGGCCTCCGGTTGAGGAGCAGGTGCGTCGGGTGCTTACCACGCGTGTGCAGGGTAAGGCCGAGCATAGCCCGCTCCTCCGGACCGTGCCAGCCCAGGCCCGACTAGCCGCCGGGTCAGGCCGGGCAAAAAAACGCCCTTGGGCTGGGCCGATAGGCTCGGGCTGCATGGCCATATATAATTGACATCGACAAAGAGGGTTAGTAACGACCAGTAAGCCACAGAGTCTCAAAACCTCTTAAACCCTAATCCTCTCCATCCATTCCCCAATCCCACATGTTCGCCTGATCAGCTGATCTTCACGGCCGCCGCTACTCGTCCGCCATGGCTGCCTCCTCCTCCAGCCTCCCAAAGCTCACTCTGAGCTCCTATTTCCTCCGCTCCTGCCGCCTCGCTTCCAGCTCCCTACTCCCCACCGCCTCCCGCTGCCACCCGGGTCCGCTCCACTCCCTCCGCTTCTGCTCCGCGGTCCCCGCGGTTGTCGATGTCGCCGCCGACCCTGCCGAGGCGGCTGTATCCGCCGGCCACCCGTGGCCGGAGTGGGCCGACTTCCTCGATAAGCTGCGGGCCAAGGGGTACTTCGAGCAAGGCCGGCCCTCCTCCTGCGTGAGTTCTGGCGAGGGAACCGCCGGAGATGGGGATGCTGCGGTTGCAGCTGCATCTGAGAACGCAGCAGCGGCTGCTTCCGGTAACACGGTGGCGGCTGCGGCGGATAGCGCGGTGGCCTCGGAAGACATTTATCCTTTCAGCGACGAGAACAGGGTGAAGAATGCTTGCCTCAAATTTGCGCGCGATCGCTACGATCTCCTCAGGTGCAAGAAACCTTGCGACTCTTTTGCTGTTTCCTTCTATGCAGGAATCAAATTTCTCGGTCTCGTACTTTATGTAATAACTAGGATACACGGATCTCGGAATTCAGTTTTATGCTGCACAAATCATCATGCCACTGATTTAGTGGAGATGCAGCCGCAAATTGCTAATTGGGCCTTTTGTGTGCTCATGAAACAGGATCCAAAGAGTGATAGCCAATAATTCTCCACTTGCATGCCTTCCATTATATCAACACTTCCTGCATTTTTTACTTAGTCGACTGAAGAATATCTACTAAATTTCTGCCGTGCATATGAGGATATTTGGTAGAACGCTCACTGACTATGTTAGTCTTGAATTATGCCCCCACCCCACCCCTCTTCATAACTGCCAACTTCTGATTGACTTGGAACTAAATATTGCGCATATAAACTGTAACATTATTTGAAATGTCAACATTTGGATCATGGTTGTCTTCACTGCTTATGTCATGAACTGGGTTTTCACACCCATGACCTGGCAGCAAGCATTGTATATCTTCTGGCTAAACTGGATTTTTATTTGAGTGCTTCAATGCTGCAGCTCGCTTCCCAAGCAGGATATTCAAGCTATTGTCACATCTGGCTGTCCTAATAAAAATCGGAAGCCCGTCAATTCTGCAAAAAGGTTGAGACAGTTTGTGGAGGTCAAAGAAGAAGATGTAAGCTTACCTGTCATTTCTAAATATATAATAGATTTCCCACTTTAGTTTTAAATTTAACTACACAATAACAATATCATTGTATTGTGCCCTAATACCAGGCATGTGGCATTTGCAAATTTAAGGCATCTTGTGATAAAGCTTTTGTCGCTCCAAAGGACGAGGCTGAAGTTAAGACTGTTGATGTTGTTCGCATACTGCTAAGTTGTGCAATGGATAAAAACCTTTCAGGAGAAAACTCAGTTATCGAAAGTGTGCAAGAATCTGCAAAAAAGCTTCTCTCACGGCTTATTGAACTTAGCGACACAAAAATCGATAAATCTCTTCCGAAACCTGCATTACAAGCTTCTAGGAAGGCTCAGGGCTCAGATGGGAAGGGGAGAGAAACAACTGCAGTTGAAATGAAGAAGGGTGACTGGTTGTGCACTAAGTAAGTTCTTTATGTTATGCAAGTGAATCTTATGAGACATTCATGGGAGGGGAGGAATGTGGGTTTATTTTTATAATGTTGTTTATGATTTCTCTCTACCTATAGAAAGTAAAAGCTAGCGACCATGGGCACGAGTTATTTCTGCATGGATTTAAATACGCTGTTGAGCTGTTATTGTACACTATGTGTTTGCAACAGTTAGAAGATCATGGCATTTTACTTCACCACAACATTCTTCAGAAGGCCATCTTTATAGCCATCATTTCTTACATTGGTCATTGACTACTAATTTCCATCGGGATTCCTCCAAGATGCATTAAAAGTATTAGTTTCATCTTCCATGGAAGTGGTTTGACTGGTTTATATGCTTATTCATTACTTCATCACTTGCAATGCTTTGGATTGTTGATACCCATAACTCCATAAGGAAGTGTTGACCTTTTTAATGGCTGTGGCCAATTCAATTAAGATTGATTCTAAAGCGCTGCAGGACACCCAGGTTTTTTAGCATTCTCATCGAACTTTTCTGTTGGTTCCTATATGCATTCCTCTTGGTTTCGAAAAAAAAGGAGAGCATACCTTTTGTGTCGGATTTTGCACAGCTGAAATGCACACTTACATATTGACGCATTGGACTTTTTCATTAACGACATAAGCTGTTTCCATGTCATCTTATATAATTTCAATCCTGAAGCATTCTGGCATAGCATTCTTAGATATTTTGCTGAACAGCACTTTCACCAATTTATATTTTCTTGTAAGGTAACAGTATATGTTTAGAGGTTTGAACCAAGTTTTGGAAATTTCCTCCATGTTGGAAGTATGTTTGCTAACCATGTCTAGTATTGAGAGAATTTTCGATCTCCTATTGTCCATAGATGATGCAAATATTTTAGAAGGTGAAGTACATAACCAAAACTGTTTCAAGTCAACTTAAAATCCGTGTGCGATATCTTGATGTGTAAATCCTCATTGTACATGATGACAGTATCTTCAAAACCAATCTTTATGATACTTTTTTGTATGATCATTCTACATAGTTTTTCTTAATACTATCATACCATCAGTTCACATTTCAAAATTATGACTGCAGGAATACTGTGATGTGATGATCCATATTTGAAGGAAAAATAAGTTTTATTAACTGTTAATCAAAGATACAGTACAAATGGTTGTGCCATTTTGTGGGCTATTGTCATGTTCACTTCATTGTTTCTCTTTTCATTTGTTCATTATATATTCTTTGGAACAACTGTTGATAGCATTATGTTCTTAAACTCCCTTCATCTTTGGCAGCTGTAACTTCTTAAATTTTGCTCGCAATGATCGCTGTCGTGAATGCAAAGCAGATGGACCAAAGAAGATAGAAGCAGCCATGCCTGAAATGAAAATGGGCGATTGGATCTGCATGCAGTAACTTTCACATTACATTATACCTTTTTCTTTCCGTTTCTTTCCAGCACCGTTTGATTTGCATCACCCTGTCTGTGCCTCCTAGGTGTAAGTTTATGAACTTCTCTCGCAACAAGATTTGTTTTAAATGTGAAGAACCTCGCCCAAAGAGGCAACTCAATCCTGGAGAGTGGGAGTGCCCCTCGTATGTGGCAGTTTAATCTTCTCTTGTCACTTTCTCAACTTTTTGCATGCTAATCAGACATTGCCTCCCTTTACAGATGTGACTTTGTTAACTTCCGACGCAACATTTTCTGCAAGAAGTGCAATCGGGACCGCCCTGAGGATGATACCCAGGATAGTCAGCTGGGATTGAGAAAAACGAGAGGGGCTGACAAGAGTAGAAGATTTGACTATATTGATCAGAATAGTGATGATGATGACAATGTCTCTCCCTATGAAGGATTCCACAGGCGTGGGGCAAGCATGAGGTTGAAACCGGACCAAAGAAGAACCACTGCCAAGAGCAGAGGCTTCGACGATCTGGAGGATGGTCTCGTTACTGCCAAGCGTAGAAGCACCAAGGAAGATGAGGATGACGAAGTCTTGCCGTACGAAGGTGTGCGCAAGCATGTTGTGAGCAGAAGGGCAACACCTTCTCAGAGGAGGTTCACGGCTGCCCGTAACCAGTAATAATACCCGAACTTGGAGCTTTGATGACTCTATTCTGTAACATATTTCACGGTTGCATACTACTTGGTTGAGCAACCATAGTTTCATTATTCAGGCCATTACCATAATTGGATATATCTTTCTCAGAAGGATGACAATTGTAATCTAGAAAGAATTTTGACAGCGTTGCTCACTCTGCTGTGGTGCAGACGAGGGACACAAGCATGTTCGATCTGTAGTGTAACTATACAGATTATTAGGGAAACCACATTGATACAACTGGCTTTTTACAAGGATTTCTTTGTTGTCACTTCTGTATGTCTGAGTTATATGATCACGTTGAACTTGTTTTGCTCTACATAGTTGAAATATTCACGGATTCTATAGCATCAGCTATGCACAAAAAATGTTACACTCTTTTACCAGTTATTAGAGAAAAAAATAGAATTGTTGCAGATGGTTAGAGCAACTAGGAATTAGGATCATGTGTTTTCTGTCAGACCAGATGAAGACAGGCATCACTTTCTTTTAACACTGGTACTGAAGAAAAGAACATTCGTGGTACAATCCTTCACAGCGAAAGCAAGAAAGAACTTTATTCTATAAGAGAAGAAAACTAGGAACAGGAACTGTATAATCCACATGCTTCAATCCCCCTTGTACTACTCCAGATTCCAGCCTACAAAGATCACGAGTCACTTGAAGCTTGAGAATTCAGAGCATCTCCCTGACGACCAGGTTGATGCCGAACGATGCCGTGCAGATGATCAGCCCAAGCCCCGCCACAATGCTCAGCCACCTGCAGTGTGCACCACCAACGTTATGGCTCTATGGAAAACCATAGCAATGCTATCTCACGGATTACGGCGAGCTTTTACTAAGAATACGCACCCAATCTTCATCCGGTTAGCCGGGACGCCAGTAGAGTATCCCGTGAAGTAGAAGAACCTCGCGACCGTGTAGAGGGCCCCGAGCCCGGCGGCGACGACCGGGTGCTGCAGGCCGCCCAGCAGCAGCATGACGAAGAAGAGCGGCATCACCTCCAGCGAGTTCTGGTGCCCTCTCTGCTCTCACAAGCAGTCAAGCACACCGGAAAATAGATTGGAAATTCGATGAGGACTGGACAGCGGAATTTTGGGCGCACGAACAAACCTGAACGCAGTTGAAGAGCTTGGCGTCCTTGTTCTCCGACTCGACGGCGTACATGGTTGGGTAGAACACCTTGTACTTCCTGCGGGCTTTGCCCACCTGGAAGCTCATCCAGAAGTTGAGCACGGCGTACGCCACGAGCACCAGCACCACGTAGCCGTACTCCTTGGTCAGCTCGATCGACGCCGCCATGGTACTTCCTGCGTCTGTTCTGCTTCTCCTGCTATCTTTCTATCTTTCTTTCCCTGCAAATGGAGATCGTTTTTCCCCCCCTTGAACAAGAGATTTTGACTCCGAGAAGTTGCTGGGTAGAGGTGAAATTTGGTAGAGTCAAAGTCAACGACAGGAATTACAGTAATAAACTTCGTGGTTTGTACATCGTAATGCGTTATGTCTGTCAACCACTCTACCTAGACTATTCAGAGCGCCATACGAAGTTAGTTCAGAGACCATTTCGTCATTGAACGTATCGGCGTGGTACACTAAATTTTGTTCTGTTCTAAGAGACCATGGGCATAGAGAAGTCGATGTCGTTTGTTTGGAAATCGTTGGTAATGTTCTCATGGGTTCCTCCTCAAGTCGCCTTTAGGAATACATCGAGAACATAGGAATTCTCAAAACAAGTATGCACCAGGGCACCAGGCTGATATCAGAGCTCAGAATTTAGGTGTATATAATATAAGGGCGCCTTCCACGGTACTACAAGATAATTAATTACTAAAACAAAATTTTCAATTATTTTAACTTTTAGCACATAGCTCATAATATAAATAGCCTCACGTGACAACTAGTAGTATATACTCCTATATGAGACTAGCTTTTAATCAAGGGATATCAATGTTTATGACACCGAATACAATAAATATAAAATGTTGATATATTTTATAGAATTTTTAATGATATTTATTTAGTATCTTAAATATTAATATTTTTCATATAAATTTAATCAAACCTAAGATTGTTTAAATTAGGATAAAATTAGAATGACTCCTCTATAGGACCGAGTTAATATAAAAAAATGTTAGTGGGCATGTTCAACTCTACTTTAATGCAGTGCTACTACTCCTTTCATATAAAAAGAAGTGTCATTCTCGCTTATTGAGAAGTCAAACACTTTTAACTTTGACCAAATATATATAAGAAAATATTAATATTTATAGTACATGATATCATTAGATGGATCGTTGAAGCTATTTTTAGTAAATTTATTTGGAGATACAAATGTTGTTAATATTTTCTATAAACTTAGTCAAGTTTATGAAAGTTTGACTGACATGAATACCATAGCGACATTTATTTTGGAAGTACATCTGTTGTGAGAGTAATATTGTAAGGATAGCCTACGAGTAAAATAATGTAGGATAGCTGACGCACTGCAATCAGCAGCCTAGGTCCAGCCAGTATTTTTTTATAGATTTAATCTTGAATTTTAGAAAGCGATAAGTGCTTTTTTGGACTGAGGCGTGACCTGACAGAGCTGGGGCCTTGGCTCTTGAGGGCGTTTTCTCCAAAATTCTTCTTCGCATATCCGGTGGTTCCTCCCCTAGTCTTTTTATCTAAAGAAGTCCAAGACCTGTTACCAGCCGATTAGGGTTGCTGTGCAGTCAATGCAGAACTGTTACCAGCCAATACCCCTTATACAGTGGATAAACATAGGCTGTGTTCGGCTGGTTGGAAAAACGGTTGATGCTGATGCACGCCGGTTTTAGATCGGTAAAGGTTAAGGATCATGCCTCAAACACAAACCATCAACAACCATCTCATCTACAACGAAACCAGAGAGTGACAAGCAGCCAGAACTGTAAGATTCATGCTTCAAGCCATCTGTCTCCTCTTATTCCGGCACAGTCAAAAGTGAAACTACTTTGCTAATCAACACACACACACACACACACACAGAAAGAAACGAGCATACAACTATGCAAACCCAACTGGCTCATGTCACACAAAGTTGCTCAGGCCTCAAGTAACTTGTCCCATTAATCCAGTCTGCAGCTCACACGTAAACCTGAAGTTTAGAGTGTCTCCCTGATGACCAAGTTGATGCCGAAAGATGCCGTGCAGATGATCAGCCCAAACACCGCCAAGAAGTTGAGCCCCCTGCAGCACGCACAGCAAGCAGCTCAATCAAGTAAGAACGTGTAACCACTACTAATAATAGATGGCATGAATTACTAGCAACAATGTGAGCTTTGATCTAACAGATGTCATTTGCTACAACTTCAGATAACAATCTCGTTCAAGTGATCCTTCATGCTGTCCATATCAGAGGGCGTCGTGATAGTCGCTAATAAAGGCAGCCAGGTGGAATTAGAATTTGCAATGCCTAACCATGGCGACTCCACAGAAAATTGTGAGCAAAACTTAAGAATCAAGGTCTTTGACACTGGGCAGAAAGTAAGCGGTGTGTTAGCTACAAATGATGAAATTAATACTCCAGAGCAAGGGACTACCATAACATAGACCTGTGTGAACAAACCAGACATGCCAACCAAGGTCTATGCTAATGGTAGTTAATTATTTTTGCAATGCCTAACCACGGCCGACTCCACAGAAAATTGTGAGCAAAACTTAACAATCAAGGTCTTTGACACTAGGCAGAAAGTAAGCGGTATGTTAGCTACAAATGATGAAATTAATACTCCAGAGCAAGGGACTACCATAACATAGACCAGTGTGAACAAACCAGACCTGCCAACCAAGGTCTATGCTAATGGTAGTTAATTATTTGAACACTAAAAAATTTGGACAAAGTTGTGCGGAAGGTAGCTGATGGCGTAGCTACAAAGAGTCAAATGATCCTAAGAATACTGATACGAGCACAAAAGCAAAGTGAACAACTTGGAAGTGCAAGTGCGCAATAAATTCAACAAACACTTAAGGCTATTCTAAATCACAAGTGCAAGTGCACAATAATTATTCTAAATCAAAAGTGGTTAGGATCAGAACAAACCCCTACTAGTATTAATCTCTGTAAACTTTTTTATGCACTATTTCAATAAATTTCTGTAGAGGTGCAAACCCCTCCAATTTCCTCAAAAAAAAAATAAAAAAAAAATTGTCATTCCTACCAACCATACTGAACAGCAGTTGACTGAAACCATAGCAAATCAGCTGTGATCCAAACATGTGAATTGCAATTCACCTACCGGTGTAACCGGCCAAAGTCTCAGTCCACAGCAATGACTTGTGTGAACATTGAGAAGCTGGACAGTTTGACCAGACAAGCAGCTAGGGCCTCAGGAAAAAAAAAGGTCGCCATGGTGCAGAAATTCAGCACAAACGCTCATTTCAAATTTCTAAAAAGCATGCACCATTTCAACAGTCACTTGACACCTACATTTTTTTTAGATAAAGTAAAATAATCGGCTTCATCCCTTAGAAATGCACCACAGCACCAACAAATGCACTTCATAAACCTTAATGGGGTTACGCTATCCTTGACTACTGTTGCCGAACCGACAACCGAGCACTGGCTACCTACGGCCTACCCACTACCAGCACTCAGGAAACCATAGAATATAGCAGAAGCTTCGAACCACATAAATAAAGCAGATTAAAAAAAATCTGTGATAACGTGGCTCGCTTTTAAAGATGTGGAGAATTTATTACAAATTGGTGGGGATCACTTGTACGAGTATACGACTACCACTCTCTACATTTTCATGGAGTTGGAGAGTGATAAATATTTCATAACAAACCGAAACATAGAAATCAAGTTAAACTCTGTTAATTCTCCCTTATATGATTTATGTTTTGCTGCAAGTGCGTGGAGATTTCATCATTTTATCAGCATCTTCTGCATCTGACGCAAGCCACACTACGGAAGCAAACTTACCCAATCTTGAGACGGTTGTCCGGAACGCCGGTGGCGTATCCCTTGAAGTAGAAGAACCTCGCGACGACGTAGAGGACACCCAGCCCGGCGGCGATGGTTGGGTGCTGCAGGCCGCCCAGCAGCAGCATGACGAAGAACGTGGGCATCATCTCCAGAGAGTTCTGGTGCCCCCTCTGCACTCAAAACAACACAAGAACCAGCAGGAATTTAGATGACACTCGTCCTCTCCCTCCCTCCCAATAAATCATCCCCTCACAAGTCACGAGCAATTAATCACACGGGGAGAGGATGGCAGAATCTTGAGCGCACCTGCACGCAGTTGAAGAGCTTGGCGTCCTTGTTCTCCGACTCGATGGCGTACATGGTGGGGTAGAACACCTTGTACCTAGAGAACAAACACCGCGGAAACCATCAAATATCCGTTGACGAAATGGGCGGAGTCGAACAAAAGCAGCAATGGCGACGAGCGATTCAGATTTCGGAGGGCTTACTTCTTGCGGGCCTTGCCGACCTGGAAGCTCATCCAGAAGTTGAGGAAGGCATAGGCCACCAGCACGAGCACGACGTAGCCGTACTCCTTGGTGAGCTCGATCGACAACGCCATGTCTGCCGCCTCGGTTTCTCCTTCTATTGGAAATGGAGATCGGGAACGAGAATGGAGGACGGCTGCAGGCTATGGTCTGAAGACTTGCTCGTAGTGGATAGACACATCTTATAGGGGCGGTTCTAGAATCTAAACTTGCCCTCCGGCCCAAGAAAGCTTTGACCCAGCAGGGCCGCTTTACTCTATTCCGCTGCCAGGAACTAGAGACTGTGTACGAGAAACAAGGTTTATCCAGCTGTTGCGCAGAAAAGAATCGTTTTTCTTGAAGAAAAAGATAGAAGACTTGACGAATTGCTAGTCAACGTTAGAGATTAGCTACATACGTCATGCGTGATGCCAGTCTACTGATCCTTAAATATTGACATTGTCAATACAAAAAGTTCAGAAAGTACATGTGAAGCTATACAGAAGATACAGATTGGAGAAACAAATGACAGGTGAGCCACTAATGTTACAACTTTCTTTCATGGTATGTGGACTGTGGTCTTGTGGAGCATATAATCGGTAAGCTGTTAGCAAGCTCTGCTAGGGCGAAATCTCCAAGGGTACACCCATGCTTATATCCCGAGAACTTCGATGTCACCCTCGGTGAGGAACATCTTCCCTCTGTTTGCGTTGTTGGCTCTTCGTTGGGTAGGCGGTTGCCCTCGCTGTGAATGGAGAACGTGTTAGCAAAAAAAAAAAAAAAAAAAAAAAAACTGGCATGCAGTTCTGATGCTAACAGAATCAAAAACACGTGAGTTGCGCAATACCTTCCGCAGGACAAATGCGAGATAGAGGTAGGAAACCTCCCACTCATCTTGCGACAGTGTACCTGCATTTTACGTGTTATAGCTTTGAGGTGGGGGTAAGCTGCATTCAGGGGTAGAAAATCTATCTATAAGGTTGGCAGGGACATTACTTTGGTCCTGCCTTCCATCACCAAGGGCACCCAGCCTCCGCATCAGCTCGGTGAACTCTGGTTTTTGCAAGTACTCGTGTACAAATTCATGGAAGTTCTTCATCAGAACCAGCTCGAGATCATACTGCAAAACATTGGACAATATGAAACAAGCGTTGTTGAGGCATAGGCTGCACAGAAGACTGTTGAAGCAAGAGAACCCCCAATACCTCCTCTGCCAATAATTTGAAGAGATGGAATGGAACAACCCATTCTGGGCAATCAACAGCATCCTGCATGTCACAGAAAAATTTCATTCAGCGCTTTTTTTTCTTTCAGAATTTATAAATACAAAAGAAACTCCAAGGGAAGCCAATCTGGGGAACTACTAATTTGAGACAACAGAAACTACTTGAGTACATACCCGAACTAGGCTATAGATATTTAAGTCCAAAAGACTATCCAGAAATTAGTACCAAGATCAATGATCCTTAGAAGCATGTTGAACTAAAAGAAATATGAGGCCTATATTAACGAAAAACTATTCCCACTGTTACCTCTAAGTGAAACTTGTAATTGATACCAAATGGTCTGGATGCAGGGAATTTCTACACCATCATCAAAACAAACAAATGGATCAGTTACTATACCAGAAAAAAGAGAAAATATTATAAATATCTTACCAAAATTTACCTTTTCAGCGTACTCCTCACCAAAGCTAATCCAGTAAACACTATTTCCAAATTCCAACCCTTCAGCTGACCATAGCAGAAGAGTTTATATACTTGTCACACAGCTTCCAGCAAATACAGTGACAAAGTTAACCAATGTAAGATGACAATGGTTGTTTACAGCAACATACATTCTCGAAGCCTTTTGATAATGACATTGGCATCAGGCATTGTCCCAATAAAAATGCCTCCAGGACGAAGTAATGCAGACACATTTGCCAAGGCTTGTCTAGCGCGTGCTTCAGTTGACCATGAATAATGTAAAGCAAACTGAAATATACAGAGAGTGATTGAAAATGGAGCACGTATGAACAAATAGAATCCCTTGTTCTGACATCAGGAAAGATTTTTACAACTTTACTCCTTAGTAACTACTACTTAAAAGTTTAGAAGACTTGATGATGCATTAGGGCATTTTAGACATCCTAGTCACATTTTGTTTTAGGAACATCAGAGTTACATTTCTTTTCTTGTGCAAAGCAATGATACTAAATGTTTAACCACCTTGTTACGGAACATTTTTACAACTTTACATGATAACTGTCTACCATGACTGCGTTCATGACCATTCAGACTTAGAGAAGGTTCAACAAATACAAAGCTGCACTAACAAGAAGGATACAGTTGGACCCACACAACAATAGCAGTGGACCAGTGAAAGCTCAAGGGCTAGAAGTACAAGGCAAGACGACTCACCTGACAGCTACATATATCAAACGGAGCATCCTCATATAAATATTCATCCAAACGAGCCTAAGGAAGAAAGAAAAGAAATTGATCAGTCATGCAATTCATTCCTCATTTTCATCTGAACAAGTAATGTGTGGTGGGTTGTTTTTCTTTCATTTGGGCACTTAGGCTTCATATTTGACATGTTAATGTCTACATGCACTTTACTATGAGATACACTTGGTATTTTTTGTGGTAAGGGGTACAGCTGTACTCCCATGCACCTACAGTAGATCCGCCCCTGATAAGCATGTGATATTTTCACAGGCAATGAACTATGAGGTGCACTATATTCTGCTTAGTGATATGAAGGATAAGACAATATACTATCATCTTTTCAATAGAGCATGAATAAGTCCAGGAGTGCTCTATGCAAGGTGCCATGCTAGCATATGATCTGACATTCTGACATAATTACAGAAAATAACAATGGTTCGAAACAGCCTGACATGTTCATTCTATTAGTGGGTTTGCGAACCATCAAGTTAGTCATGGCTAATCAAGTAGCTTCCATCTCTTTACCTCATAGCAATCAGTACAAATAAGCCGTGCAGGGAAACTGAACTTTTTCCTTCTTTGTTGATCTGTGTCACCATTGTAGCGAGTCATGCAATCTTTTATCTGAAAGTCAGAAAGTGTAAGGCCATTATATGTCCATGCTCAAAAGTGATGCAGAAACAGAAAATATATTGCACATCAGATGATATTACAACATAAAGTGTTCAATTGATTAGTTCATACTGAGAATTCATAAGGCATCAATGATAACAATTCAAAATGGCGAAGCTAAATATACAGCTAATACATAACAACTTCTGGTGTACTTGTACAAATGTACACATAAAATAAATGTTTCATGTGACAGGAAACTAACCGAGCCTTGAGCAATATCAACCCCTACATAGTAGCCAACCTTGGCTTTATCCCACTTTATCAAATCACCTCCCTGCATTACAAACAAATAAGCATAGCTTAATGGTTAACGCTACCTTCAAGCCCAGGAACCGTTGCTCTTTCTACTATACAAAGCAACCGCAACATGCCACTAACCTTCCCGCAAGCAAGATCAAGAACGCAGTCGCCCGGGCGTGCATACAGCTGGATTAAAACACTCTTGATCTGCCCAAACACACAGATTGAACAGTTACTCGGTCAGCGTGGTCACTGGCAGGATGTATCAAACATCACGGGTTCCCCATTTTATCAAGAATCCAGGGATGGCCGGGTAGGCGTGGTAAACTGAATTGAGACCCACCCAGTTGTTGAGCTTCTTGAGGTGGATGATGGGGCTGTTCTCGCGTTCCTCGAGGGTCTGGTTGGACCGTGCGCTGTAGTGGTCGGCCACCCGCCGCGCGCTGCTCCGCTCCTCCGAGTACCCCTGCTGCGCGCCATACCCTCCGCCTGCCACCCAAGCCCCAAACCCTAGTTAGCCATCCAACCCGACCGCGGCAGCTAGCCTCGCCCCGACGCCGGCCGGGGCGGCTGGTGAGCAAGAGGGGAAGGGGGACGAGGCGGCGAGGGAGTACCTGCGCCGTACTGGCGCTTGGGCGCGGAGGCGAAGGAGGAAGAGTGGTCGTCGCGGGGCCGCTTATTCATGCCGCCGCCAACGGATGTTTTTCCGGCGATTCACAATTATACTGCACGTCCTAGTGCTTTCCTCACCACGGATCTTTGTGCGGCCTGGAGGAAAAACCGAATCTGGGGTTAGGAGAGAAAATTGCTTTGTGTATTGGGCTAGAGAGGAGTCAGAGAGAGCTCCCCGGCGATGAGGCGGCTTACGGTCGTCGGCGAAGACAATCGCGCGCGGGGGAGGGGGCCGGGCGAGCAGACCAGGCGCTCGAGTCTTCGAGCGGAGGCGGCGGCAAGCCGGCGGTATGTATCCGGGGGGATCAGCGATGAATCGGCTGTTCCTTGTCTTATGTTTCACTGAACGAAGACTTTTTTTTTTCTCACGATAAATCAGTGACCAGTATTTTTAGCCATGACTTTTCAGCAAAGCGAACAGAGCTAAAAAAAAAACACGTTCCCTCTCGCCTCTCTTTCGATAAAAGTATTTCACAGCTGCATTGAGCACATACATCTAACCAAATGTTCATAAGCCAGATCACTTAAGGTACATTTGGTAGGAACATTGATTCTTCTTTAAAACATTTTACATCTAGTTTTTCTCTAATTGTTTCTCTGCGAATTAAAATCACTTCATAACACCATTTGACTAGTCTGGTTGTTTTGAAATTAGAACTAGAATAAAGAGAAACCAACTCTTGGCTAAAAAGAACGAGATACAAGTGATTCTTCGTAGAATATTTCTCTCTTTAAGAGGAGCGGCTTCTACATAGAGGTGTAGCCATGAGCCCATAATGGCTGTCACCGAGGTCATTTTCATGTCAATCGTAGTTGTTATGAAACCAACACTACCAAAGGTGCTCGAATGTTGGCGAAGCCATATAAAGGTCTTTGAAAGGAGGCTCTCATTTTGAAGCTTAAGCCAAATGCCTATCCCGCACCTTCGTCCTCGCTGGTGCAAACCACTTGCTAGACCACCTTTCATTCTCGTCCCTTGCAGGTATCTTTGTTGTCTAGAGAAAAGCATGACACCTACACTGCAATGCATCAATAGTACCTCGGGGCACTAAGATGGAGGGCATGGCATAGGAGGTAGTGCTTGCCAAGACGGATTTAACGAGCTGCTTCTAGCCGGTTGAGGAGCCTCTGCCGCCATCCCGTGATAGAGTGATTTCCACCATGGGCTACAAGTCATGGGGTGCAGCTTGTGGAAACCTAGCATACGAAGATAACAACAACAGAAAACAACTTTTGAATGACACATGCTCATAGGGACGAACGTGCGATGTAGAGCCCTATTGTTGTTGAGAACATGTCCAACATTTGCTCGCGCTCTTTCCAGATGGCCTTAGTAACTATTAGTGTGCCATCGTGCCATCCGCATACTGTAAAACTTTACAGGAACGGGCTCGTTGATGATGAGCGGGTCTTGGAGGTCGTCTTCGAAAGCCACCTTCGAGATAAGCTGTTGGAGCCGGCTCGCCGCAATAAAGAAAAGGTATGTCCAATTTTATTTTTGCATTGTATCCACTTGCTCGGGACGCCATTCAACTTGATCATAGTTTGACTAGAGTATAGAGCTGTGCAATCCCAATCCACTACCTCGATTTATCCACTTTTGACTCTAAGATTTTGTCTAGACCTGCCACCCAACCGAGTTGAAAGGCCTTCCTGAAATCCAATTTCAAGGCTCTGTTCGCTTCAACCAGAATTAGCCAGCCAGAAAACAGTATTTTTCTCTCACAGCAAATCAGTCATACAAATCAGCCGGAGTTAAAATAAGTCCTGCCAACTCGACGCGAGGATCTTCGTATAGAGATTTGTTTAGCAAATAGAAATGGACCTAAAGTCCCTTGGATGGGTGGTCCGGGTTCGTCTTATGCCATATTTCCATGTTCAGACTTGGAGACTTTGAACAAGTGTATCGAAATAGAGGTCATAAGACCGTAACGGCAGCTGGCATTTCTATACGTCCTGTTGATTACATGGATGAACTAATTACCCGATACTCCTAATCCCTAAAAAAACTAATGATCCAATAGTGTACCTACCAATAGGGATGCAAGCGAGTTTGTCCGTGCACCCGCAATTGGTTTTAATTTTTGTGGTAGCAGCCGATTTTATCACGCACAAAAAAGTATGGATCTGCATAAGCCGAAACCTCGCTATCCACCACAAATGCCCTTTCAGATAAACAAGCTGCAAGAAAGCAGAGAAATCAAACGTAGTGGCTCGCCCTCGACCGCTACATATCTCAAACGATTTGTCATGGAAAGCAAATGTTCAAACACGCGCCCATTAACAACGGCTACATGAAATACCAGAAATCAAACAAATCAGTTCACTCAAGAGCAAGCAGCCGAGCACTGAGCAAGCACACCCAGTGTCCCAGTTCGTCAACAATACGCATTACACAGACAGAGTCACACCAAACCACCCGAGTGGCTCCCCAATTTTAATGGAAGGCAGGCAAACGGCAAACGAAATACTACTAGTCGCTAGCTTTAACAGATCATGGCCGCCACGGCGCTCACGCGGCAGAGACGACGAGCTTCATGCCGAGGTTGCAGTGGCCGAACCGGGTGCAGATGAAGAAGTTGTCCCCCCTGGTGAGCGTGATGCTGTCGGCGCCGGACGTGTAGGTCCGCGACCCTGGCGGCGTCGTGCAGCCGTTGTACCCGTCCTCGTCCACGGCCACCACGTTGTGGATCCAGGGGATGTACCTGAACACTGCAGCCACACACACACACAAAGCATGGACTGGCCATTTTCAGCGCCCAGCAACCGGCCAAATGCAGCACTACGCACGGGAGCTGAGCATGCATTGCAGAATGTGCTGGTTTTACTGGAGACGTACCGAGAGTGTCTCCGGCGCGGAAGTGCTTGCCGTTGGGCCAGCTGGGGCTGCTGAAGGACCAGCCGTTGCTGTCCCCGACGTAGTAGGTGGTGGCTGCGTCGGCGATGACGACGCAGCAGCAGCAGGCAACGGCGAACGCCGTGGCGCCGATGGCTCGCCCCGCGCTTGCACTGCCTCTTCCCTGAGCCATCTCGGTATCTCACCTCACGGACGCACTCGTCGGCTCGCTGCACTCACTACACTAACCAGGAGGGGAGAAATGCCCGCGCCTGCTGGTGGCTCAATGGGCCGGCCAATGGCAGTGTGGAACTAGTGAAATGCAGATCGACTGGCAAGGAGAGTGTAGTGCGCTCGGCACTCCTAGCTGGCTGCTGGATGGTTGCTCGGGGTCAGGGAGCACGGTGTCCGAGGAAATCAATACTGCGCTGAGCGGCGGCAGAGGTGACGAGCAGAGCGAGAGGGACAGCCGTGAGACTGCGCTGCTTCAATGCAGCATAGGACGCCAGTCCGTGATCACATGACGGGCCAGACGAGGGTCTCACAGTGCAGGCCAGTCAACAGATTTTCTACTTGGACAACGTTAATCAACATTGACAGAACTAATTAACTAAACATTTATCGAAGAAAAGTACAGAACTACAGGAAGAAGGTTGAAGGCTCGGCCTTCTTCAATGCTCACCCCGCATTCATACGTACATGATCTTGTTGGCGTGTGGCTCGCCTCTCTCTATGGTGAGGTGATGCGAACTCCCTCTCTCACATAAGCAAGGAGAACCTTTTTTTTTTTACATAAATAAGCAAGGAGAACCTTACCAGCGTAAACACCGAGATAAGCTCGTTTGCGATCCAACCGCTCACTTCGCTTTGATTTCTAGTCTAGCAAGGTTGAGGCGAGCGCTCGCCTAGGAACGAAATCAGTCTGCAGTGTAATTTATGCTTATTAGCAACTGCTTTATCTGTTGGAACATAGACCAAGGAAGACACCGATTTCATGATGGTGAAATCAGTACGACCTCTGTCCCTAAAAAAAATGCAATGCGTGTCACTTTGAGTGCTACACGTTTGAGCAGGTTTCTAGTAAATAATATTCATATTTATAACTCTAAATTAATTTATTATAAAAATACATTTTGTAATTAATCTAATGATATTTATTTTATATTATAAATATTTATATTTTTTATTTATAATTGATCAAAGGTGATATATACTATTTTAGAATTATATTTTTTTTGGGACGATGAGTACAGTGGTAGCGAAGGCCCAAAATTCAGCTGTGGCAACTGGCAGGCAAAGTTTTACTACGCCGGCTGCTTGTTTAGATACCTCAAAACATCAAGTTTTTCAATCCTCTCCAGTGCTGCCATCACATCATCACTTGGCAGACCATCGTTGTAAATGTGTAAAATAAATAACTAATTAGCAGTGGGCAGTTGTAAATCCCGTGGTATGAATCCCTGCTGTAGAGCTGGTGCTGTATCTTCCTCTTCTCGCTGAAAAAAAGGGTCCAAAGTAACGTCATGTTTAGTTTCATCGAAATTGAAAAAAATTACTACAATCTAAACGTGGCCGAATGTTTTGGCTGCTATGAGCTCCTCTGCCAGTGCTGCCATCCCACGCATCACTTGGCAGACCATCGTTGTAGCCTGTACAGTAGCAGGTTAGCAGTGGGCAGTGGCCCATCCCGTGGTATGGTACCCTGCTGTAGAGCTGGTGCTGTATCTTCCTCTTCTCGCTGAAAAAAAAGGGTCCAGCAGTAAATAGATGGTCCATGGACACACATCTGCGTTCAGAATTCATGTTTCCTGGTCCTCTGATTCTCTTCTCGTACTCGCTCAGATCAACGCGCTGGCAAAGGAACAAAGATTCAGCTCTTGCCTCTTGTATGCCATGATGAAACGAGGGAAGATGCAGCCATGCAGGGGCAGAACCGCAGAGGTGGTGTTTCACGTGTTTGGGCATGCTTCGCCTCGGCAGGGCTGGGCTGCTCTTCTCCTCCTGCAGCTGAGGAAACCAGAAGCGGGACTGCGGGAGGTAACGACGGGCCGCCGGCCCGACCGAACCGCCTGCACTTACATTACAGCCGGATTCCTCAGCGCGAGAGAACGCGTGGGCCGAAATGAAGAAATGGGCTCCCAAACAAGCACCTACTGACTGATGCATACACATCGACTGAATGCCAGGATGCAGCTGAAACCAACGCAGCTGTATATGCCTTCTTATTCGGTTGCATAGATCAACACACACGCCGGTACATTGCTCTGTCCCTTCTCCTTCTCTATATATAGTACCAATCCGACAACACCTTACAACTAACGCGCACGTCGTACATGCGTACGTACGCGACGACACGATATTATTGAACAACAACGAGCTACGCGCTTTACTTTGGAGAAGAAAATAATAGAGCCAGCAGATAGCCGGCCGACCGGTACGGTCCGGTCCGGTCCGGCCTCACGCGGCGGTGACGGCGACCTTCATGCCGGCCTGGCAGTGGCCGGGGAAGCTGCAGATGAAGTAGTTGACGCCGCGCTTGAGCGTGACGCGGTCGTTGCCGGTGGTGAGCGCCCTGACGCCCCTCGGCGCGCTGCACGAGTTGTACCCCGCCGCGCTCACGGGCACCACGTTGTGCGCCTTGGGGTTGTACTTGAACACTGCATGCATGAAGTACGCGTGCATATATTTCAGCGGTTACCCAGCCGTTCATAGTACGTAGACGTGTAAAGAGCTAGCTAGTACGTAGCACACTGACCGAGAACGTCGCCGGCGCGGAAGCGCTTGCCCTTGGGCCAGTTGGCGGTGTTGAAGCTCCACCCGCCGCGGTCGCCGACCGTGTACACCGCCGACTCGGCGAACTCGCCGTGGAGGAGCACGCAGAGGAGGACCAGCGGCAGCACGGCGGCGGCGCTGCTGCCACGAGCACTGCCCATTCCCTGAGCCATGTATATGCCGCTCTCAACAAACACGATGAGCTCAGGAAAGGGAAGTGCTCGAGCGAAGGCGCGTGATGAGTGTGAGTTGAGATGCAGTTATCGGTGCACCGGGGGGCTCGTTTTATAGGCAAACCCCAACCCAGCACGAGTTATCAGTCGAACTTGTGGCTACCGTACGTTGCTATTACACGGTCAGATGGTCTACGCTGCCATGCATGTGATTTCAGTGCGTGGCGAACTTTCTTCAGGACCAGCGGCGGTGGCAATGGGAGAGAAGTGGCGCACCAGGGACCCCATGCATGGCGAGCTGCCAGTGCTAGCCTAGGTGTGGAAGCTCGCACTAGCAGTCGCAGACGAGTTATTTCGTGGCGGTACCTTTTCTAGAAAGAATTTACTACTCCAACTACGCGAGGAATGGCCAGACGCCAGAATTTTTGGACCAGGAGGACTGGAGGAGACCTGACCGGCGGGGCGTGTGTGCGAACTGTGAAGCGAGTCAACGGCGAGTGGAAAGCGACGAGTGGGCACCGCCGAGACCCGAGATGGGAACACCGAACACCAGCTGTGGATGCGGGGGCAAGAGCCAAGAGGCCGCGCCGCGGGGCTGCTTCGCTGTCTGCCGGAGACCGGAGGCCGGCGTTTGGTGTGTGCCGGTGCCCATTTCGGAGTCGGTTTATCGGCCACTGAGGGTCTGAGGGACCGGTTCAAAGTGCGTGCAGCGCCAACCCGCCAACTGGGGGCTCGTTTAGATTGCAAAAAAAATGAACCTGATGAATAGTACCATTTTCGTCTTATTTGGTAAATATTATTCAATCGTGGACCAACTAGGCTTAAAAGATTCATCTCGTGATTTTCAACTAAACTGTGTAAATTGATATGATGAAGAGAGAGTGAAAAAAATTAAAATTTGGATGGCATCTAAACAAGGCCTGGGTCAAAGACGGACGTTTCTTGATGACTGATGGGCCAAGTTGGTTACTGAGCCGGCACATCACATCATCCTTCCATCCCTTGTTTGTTCGGGGATCGACCAAGTGCTGTAGCCACCATTGGGCAAAGCTTGGCGAAGCAACACCACCGCATATGAATTGTTCGTTGATACTAAGTTCCTCTTGATTAGCTACTAGCTAGAGCTAAAAGAAAAGGTTGAAACATAAAAAAAAACTCTAGTTGGTTCAAACATTCTGGTTTATAGTCAATTTTAACTCTCTAACCACCTAGTTAATAGAAAGCTACTCACTATGCCCACGAATGTAAGCATTTTTAGGATTCTTATGACATACAGTAAGGACAAAGGGAAATTATTGTGATGCCCGTCAATCATCACCGAGATCAATAGATACAATTAATAACTGCATTTTCTATTTAGATCAGTCTTAGTGAGAGTTTTGTGGTTTGTTGCCCATGCAACTTTGCCTCACTAGCATCAATCTAGGTCCTCAATTTTGTGTGCCTAGTGGTCTAGATTGGTTGCCAACAACCAAACAACCCCAAAGACTGTCATGTGTTGGAACCATTAAATCCATTCCATTCCATAAAACTTTTATCATTTCTTTTTTTATTTATAATATTTTGCTGTGTCAGCTTGTTTAATACAAAAAAACTCACAAAACACACACTGAGACCGGCCTTAAGCAAATGACGAGTGCTAATTAAATTTTAAACACTGATATTACATTGGGAGGCACTAATCAAAATGGTAAGCGGTAATGGCATTAGATTAATGATGAGGAAGCAGTCACGACCTCTCGACCGTCCCGACCCCTGGGAGGAACGGGGAGAGTTCGAGCACAGCTAGGCATGCCTGCTCTGACAAGGGTAGGACACGCCGCACTGACCCCTCAAGAACGAGGGGACAGCGGTCACCTCGGTCCGGTCAGAAACCACCCCTGCGCCACGCAGCACAGACAAAGACAACACCTCCCAAAGCGGTGACTGTCGATATGGCGACTCACCGTCCAAATACAGACCAACAAGACATATGTACGATCCTACTCACCATGGGATAGGATCCACCACGGCAAGAGCCATGACCCCAACGCTCGGGGTCGTGGACATTAGTTCCACAAGCCAACCGGGTGATCGACGACCTGGGGGCGGCTACCAACTCCTGTACGACGCCCTAGAAAACCAGAAGGTGATGACGAAGACCACGGCGAAGACCATGTCGCATAGGACGGCTGGCGAACCACCTCCGTGTCGACAGTGCCGCCACGGCCGGCATAGTAGCACCATGCCACACCATGCCGTGACGTTGCCACAGGACCGTGACGACAACCATGCCCAGACGTGCAACACAAGACGGCGTAGCTTGCAAGCCAAGTTAGCTAGGTCCTCCCTCAGGCTCACGCGCCTTCGGTTGGGAGAACCTTCTTCTTTGTACATGCCCTGGCCCGAACTCTATATAAGGGCAGCCAGGACACCCATCTTGGGATCCGACTCTCTCTCATTCACTCATTCTTACACCGTAGAAGGGCTCCTGAAGCTTCCCTTCGGGCAGCCTGTCTCCTAGCTCTAGCTCTCCTACCTCTTCCATCGTTCTTGCACCTCCATTGTAAGAACTTTAAAGGATTCAAGCGAGGAACACGCACTTGATCATCTCTGAGACTGGACGTAGGGCTCTGGCCTGAACCAGTATAAATTCCTATGTCTTTTGGATGCTACCATCGTCTTTTTAGAGCAGCATGACAATCATATAAATTCACTAGTCCGGTTTACAAAACACCGACAGAGGGAGTATTAGCCGGCTCCCGCTATTTTAGCTAACAGAAAGTTTAGTTGGTCCAAGCTCTACACGATCCATATAAGTTGGTTCTGGGCTTGCTTGGATCCCTCGAAGCTTTTTAAGCTCCAATGGTAACCATAGGAGTTTTATAAAGTGCGTGTTTGGATAATTATAAGTGTACAATTAGCTAAGTTGTTTAGATCAACTATAGCTTTTATTTGCTAGCTCAAAAGCCGTGACAATTCCAAACTCCCTTGGACCACTATCTTAGCCCATTTTATTTAGTTTCCACTTGGAATTGGTTTAGTTTATGTACTAGTGCATCATTTGAATTTTATCCTACGTCACTCTGTTTTTCTTCCACCTGTATACACCATTAGAATATAGTAGAGGGATATCCCGTACGTTGTTACGTGACTTTCTTAGAAATAAAACTGTTGCATGTATGAGTTAAACCTACGTATTCTTACATCCATTCTTATCAAAATTGGACAAGAGAATGAAAGAATCTAATAAAAAACTAGTGAAATTAAATTGAATTATAAGATGATAGAACGGCAAAAAACAAATAGCAATATATATGGATGTATTCTGCATTTCTTATATATTGAATGTAGTAATTGCGTTCGGTGGAGATGGCATGGATAGATTGCAATAAGAGATTGAAAATTAGTGGGATGACATGGCTATTAATGAAAAATGATGCTAATAGAGATATAGGTCTATCTTGATAGATTTTACATGGCTATATCTCTGCCATTCTCTTCGGTCATTTTATTTGTCTGTCTGAGGTTGTTTCTCATGATTCAGCATCACTGCCCTTTGTGACATCTTTAGCGTCATCCTCGCTCCCATCTCTGGAGTCCTATATTTTTCTTATTCTTTTCTAGCTCAAACAAGCGTGACTAGCATGTAGCACACATCAATTGAATACAGGATATACAGAGCACACAAACAAACGCCGTATGCCTTTATTGTTCTTCACATCAACACACAAATACACACATCAGTAGTACATCACTCGATCTGACCCTTCTCTATAGTGCCAGTCTCCAAACACCTAACAACTCCTGACACGCAGGTTAAGTACGCGACGACACGACACGGTATTATTGAACAACAGAGCTGCACCGTCTAATTAGCTACGTGCTTTACTTTGAAGAGAGGAAATTAATAGTAAGCTAGCCACCGATCGATCGAGCCCGTGTCCGTGGGCGCGGCGGTCGCCGGCTTATCGGCCGGCCGTGCCTCATCACGCCTCACGCAGCGGTGAGCGGCGATCTTCATGCCGGCCTGGCAGTGGCCTGGGAAGCTGCAGATGAAGTAGTTGGCGCCGCGCTTCAGCGTGACGCGGTCGTTACCGGTGGTGAGCGCCCTCACGCCCTTGGGCGCGCTGCACGACCTGTACCCCGCCGCGCTCACGGGCACCACGTTGTGCGCCTTGGCGTTGTACCTGAACACTGCATGAACGCGTGAACACCATTAAACTTGAACCACTGACCGAGAACGTCGCCGATGACATGAATAGAGAGCCAGCTAGTAGCACTGACCGAGCACGTCGCCGGCGCGGAAGCGCTTGCCCTTGGGCCAGTTGGCGGTGTTGAAGCTCCACCCGCCGCGGTCGCCGACGGTGTACACCGCCGACTCGGCGAACTCGCCGTGGAGGAGAACGCAGAGGAGGACCAGCGCCAGCACGGCGGCGCTGCTGCCACGAGCACTGCCCCTTCCCTGAGCCATGGCACTCTAGTACTGTCTCTCTCACACACAAGGGGAAAGGAGGCTAACTAGCAGCACTGGCTTGGAGCGAAGTGATGAGAGCGTGTGGGTTGAGCTGTAGTGCTCAGTGCAACAAGAACCCCTTTTTATAGGCAACCCCGACTACCTGAGTACCAGGCACACGCCAATAATCGAACTCGTGGGCTCGTGGCAAGTGTATAGTGACCACGACACGGTCAAATGGCCCCGGGGCAAACGCTTACGCCGAGTGAACTACGCTGAACTTAACCGAATACTGATGTTCTGCTAGCTAGCCCGTGCGTAAGGCTCCGGAGCCACCGGCGGTGTCCAGGGGAAGTGGCGCCCCACATCGAGCTGCGAGGAAGCAAGCCATAGCCAGACACCCACCCACTGACCCACAAGGACGAGAGGACGGGAGTGGGGGAGCCACTGCCTTGGAACCGTCCGAGATGGGAAAAGGAGAAACCCTTGGCCCGGCAGAGGGTCAGGGCGCTCACCACCGGGAACAACAAAGTGGTGAAATTAGACGGTGATAGGATCCCGTGACTAAAATTTAGAAGGTATATCGAAAAATATTGTATGGGATGTTTGATACTAATAAAAAAATAAATTACATAATCCGTCATTACTCCACGAGACGATTTTTTAAGCCTAATTAATCTGTCATTAGCACATGTTTACTGTAGCACCACATTGTCAAATCATGGACTGATTAGGCTTAAAATATTCGTCTCGCAAATTAGTCACAAAATATGCAATTAGTTTCGTAATTAGTTTATATTTAATACTTTATACATGTGTCAAACATTCAATAAGACAACAACTAAAAAATTTAGAAGGGGCAAACAAACACCACCTTACTGGAGAACGTGGACTGCAATAAACGCAACAAGAACAAGTTTTTCCACGCTCACCAACTGTCTGTCTTTGAAGACATGCCCATTCCAGAAAATTTATTACATGTTCTTTATACTTGTAGCCAGCCGGGGGAGTGCACATAGCGTAGGACTTGTGGTATGTATCTCCTCTGAGGGCAAATACTACCTTCGTCTAAAAAGAATGACACTCTAATTTATAAGTTAAACTGTTTTAAACTACTTAGTTCGGTCAATGTTGTAGAGAACATCATAAACATTTACGACGCCAAATACGTATCTCATGATAAATCTGATGATGATTATTTAGTGTCTCTATGACATGGCTGCTCCAACGACTGAAGCCCTGTTTTTCAAAAAAAAATATCAAACGCCTGATCCCCCACTTTTCTAAAGGAATAATGCATAATCTCAAATTTATAAAGAGGGAAGCTAAGATCATCAACTTTATAAAAAAAGAAGAAGATGAAGCCCTCATCCCCTGACTTTTCTAGGCTCTTCCATAATCTCACATTTATAAAAATGAAAGTACTCATCAACTTTATAAGAACGGTAATGCTATAGACCCAGGCTCCAGGCTTCCGCCTGCACCGCTCTCTTCACCCTCTGCTCTCCTCCGTCGCATTCCCCGCCGCTCTCTCCTACACTCGCTCTCCGCTGTCATTCCTCCCTCCCTCCCCCTCCTCGCGCATGCCTTCCTCCCTCCCTCCGCACGCGAGCTCGATGCGTGCCCGGCCGCCCGTGCTCCCTTCCTCCCTCCGTCCCTCGCCCTCCGCGACCTCCATGCACCCCCACTCTCCCTGCGACCCGGCTCCCGCACCCCACCGGAGATGAGGACGACGACGGAGCTCCGACGAGGTAGGTCGCGGGGGGATCTGGATCTGAGGCCTTGCTCCTCCTCCTCTGGATCTGGATCTGAGCCCTCCACTCTCCTCCTCCTCTGGATCTGAGCCCTCCTCCTCCTCCTCCTCCTCCTCCTCCTCTGGATCTAATGGATACGACGATGGCTAGGGTTTCGGCGAGCTCTCGAGGTCAGATCTCGCCGTGTTGTAATGGTTTTTTGGATGTTGCAATAGATGATTTCGAATGCTGCAATGGGATTTTTTTGGGTTGTTGCAACATATATTTTTGGGATGTTGCAGTAGCACTGCTTGAGATGTTGCAGTATGTTTCAGTTGTTTCAATCTCATGTTGCAGTAGTTGTTCCAAGTTGTTGGAAGTGTTTTTATTTCGAGCGTTGTTTCATATGCTTCACACCAGTGTTGCAATAATATGTTCCAAATGTTTCAGCTCCTTCACCCTATTATTGCAGCAGTTTGTTCGGTGTTGTTGCAATAATATGTTCATGTTGTTTCAGCAGCTTCATCCTAATGTTGCAGCTGTTGTTCCTTGTTGTTGCAATAATATGTTCATGGTGTTTCGCTGCTTCAGCCTAATGTTGAAGTAGTTGTTTCCGTGTTGTTGCACGTGTTTTATTCCAACTTTCTATGTTGTTTGGCCAGGGGGCGCGTGGCTCGCCGAAGGGATAGTGGACGGAAGCGTTGGGGGCGAGCGGATGGGGGTGCTGCGGCCAGGGGGCGATAGGGCATGCTCGTACGTGGGTGGTGCGAAGGCATACGCGACGGGTGTGGGGATGGGCTGCCGGGGCAAGCTGGGGGGCGCGCGCGGCGCGAGCGACAAGCGCGGGGGAAACGAGCAGAGAAGAGAAACAAGAGGAGCAGCATGCGGGGCTTGCGTCCACGGCACCGTCCGATTGATCGGTATCGTCCGGCGCCAGCACTCCCATTATAAGAATTACATGCAAATTGCCACTAGAGCCCTCTCTCACACCCAAATACCCAATGCCGTAAAGTACCCCTTCGGCTCGAATACGAGCACTCTCGTTCCTCCCTCCCCCTCATCTCTCTCTCTCTCTCTCGCGAACAGGGTCAATGAATCCGGTTGTTGTGACTGATAGGAGAAAGGACGCTGGGCAACCTATGATGGACGGGCCAGGACACTACATTTTAGATCAGACAGGCCGATATACCCCGTGGTGCCACTCTAGCTAACACAAGGTAGAAAGGAACATATATAGCATACTTTATAGTTATTGATTTTTTTCTCTCGATCACGCAAAAGGTTTGCGCGTCTTTATATTAAGATAGAGAAAAAGTTTAATACAACACGCATTAACGGCACCCTAGAGGGTCAAAAGAGTTTTGCATGGACGCTCCGACCCAACCTAATGTACTGAAATATATGGTGTTACATTGGACACCAATCAGACCCAACATAGTTATTGAATTATATAGGAGTTATTTTGAATTATCTTTTTTTATAATGGGACATGTGGACAATTTAGATACAAATTTAGAGGGTATTTAAAATTATCTTTTGTAATGACATAAGGGGTAGTTTATATACAACTTTAGGGATTATTTCATGTATTTTACATAATGGTGGAGGTGGCTAATTTTTTAGAAAACAGAATATATCTATTGGCTATTATTGGTGATTTCAAATACGTTTTTAGTTATTGCAAGAATTTTTAGAGTTTTTTTTGTGCTACGTCTAGTAAGAATTAACAAAGAGGCCGTTAGAAACACCTCTAAGTAGTAAGATTAAGATTAAAATTAAAATGGTTGGAGCATTGTACAATGCCAAGATGACCGAAGAAAGCAGGTCAACTCGAGCCCCGAAGTCTAATCTTCGGAGGTGCTGCAATAATCTTCCGAATCGCATTGAAGACAAACGGTTGCCGGTTGGGCGCGCTTCCACTGTATTGATTGGGCAGCCGATTGGTCCAACCTTGACAAAAGTTTGGCTACCTGAAAAAAAAAACAGATAGAAAACTCGGCCATGTCCGAACTTTGAGAATCCTATCTCCTGCTATTATGCGCAAGAACCGAACCACTACATTTTCAAAAGGAACCGAACTTCGCTATATTTCCGTATAGAGAGCTGATGGTGAGAACAAGACAAGACGCGGAGTCGTCGTCGGTCATCGCGGTGAGACGTATACGGTCGGCTCGGGTGGCAACGAAAACCATACAAGTTTGTCTGGCGCCGGCCTATCCCCGGCTACCAATTTCAAAGACAGGTGTGTTATGAGTGTGTTTGAATCTCTCTACTTTCAGCTATTAGTGCTAAATTTAGGTCGACTAGTGTGTGAGAGAGGTTTCCACCTGTACCGTTGTACGTGCGGCTCAAGCTGATGAATCCAAAAATTTCACCAGCGAGCTGTGTTTTGGAATTCAAACTCGTCGACACTGAAGAAATAATGCACTGCACATCAGAATGCCGTCTGCCTAATGAATCATCAGTACATCAAATCAGGTAGGCAGGCAGGACATGCTCCCGTCTGCATGCCCACTGTACACTATAAAAAAACTTGGCTGGAGGCGGACGTTTTTAGTTTTCCGCGGTGGGCAAAGCCGTCCACCGCGGCCTAGAGGCCATGGTAAATCGTGGCTTAACCGCGGCGGGCAGCCCGCCGCGGTTAACCGATTTACCGCGGCGGACGGTGTAACGTGCCCGCCGCGGTAAATATACTTTTACCACGGCGGGCACGTTACACCGACCGCCTAGGTTAATCGTTTGGAAAAAAAACAAAAAAAACCAAAGCCCACCGGCGAGCCCATTGACTGAGCCCACCGGCGAGCCCAATCCCAAAACGAAACCCTAGCGCCGCCATCGTCGTCCTTGGATCCAGTACCGCCGCCCTCTGCCTCAGCCGCCGCCCAAGATGAGGCCGGAAAGAGGAGGGCGCCGAAGCGGCGGCAAGCATCCGCGTCGCGCCGCCACCGCAGCTCCGACGTCCGTGCGCTGCTCTAGATCTGGGAAAGGGAGAGGGCATGCGAGGAGGGAGACGAGAGAGACGAAGAGAGAGACCATGTTAGCACCGTGGGCTGGATCTCGGCCATGGTGGCGGATCTCATCGTCGCCATCTGCAAAGGAAGAGGAGAGAGGAGATGAAGGAAGAGGAGAGGGAGGGAAGTGCGTACCTACCTCCATGCGCGCGCGCTGCCCCACGCCCCACGCCGCGCGCCGCGCGCCGTGGATCCGCGCGCGGGCGCCGCCGCCGCCATGGATCTCGCCAGCCGTCGGGATCGCCCGATCCACCGTCGTCGTCGTGGACGCCCA